ATGTTCTGAAGAAATAGCTCTTGCTTGGCATTTCTTTAGAACAAATTTCAGCCACTAAGAAAAAAAAATCATCTTTGTGATCCTGCTGTTTTCATAGAAATTGTGGAATAACAGATACTGCTGTGTCAACACGTCAGAGAGCAGAAGCTATAAAAATGTGTCGGAGTCAAGGAGTCAAGGCCATGTGGGAGTCAAGGCTATATTAAAGGAAATATTTGAAAGAAAATATTGCATAGTTAAAACCAATTTTGTCACATATTACAGAGCACTACTTTTTTTTTTTGAGTAGTCAGGTATGTCATATGTTAACGCCATGATTCTCTGTTGTGATACATGTGATGTTATTATTCATTTATTTGACAGTGTCATTTTTTAACCTGCTTCAATTTTATTTCCTCCATGGCTCCACAATGGCCACAATGGTGCATTAAAGGGGTCATATGATGTTGCTAAAAATAACATTATTTTGTGTATTTGGTGTAATGAAATGTGTTTATGTAGTTTATCGTTCAAAAACAAATTATTTTCCACATACTGTACATTATTGTTTCTCCTCTATGCCCCGCCTTTCTGAAACGCGTCGATTTTTACAAAGCTCATCGGTCTGAAAAGCGAGGTGTGCTCTGATTGGCCAGCTATTCAGTGCGTTGTGATTTGCCGAATTCCGCAAGCGTGTGACGGAAATGTTACGCCCCTACCATAAAAACTAGGCATTTGTTGCATCCAGTGGGGACATAATTACGGATTATAATGATGACTTAAACTGTCTTTTTAGCATTGCATTGCATCCGCGTAAACATAAAACCATGTCTGCATTTGTGATCGGAGAAATGACAAAGTACAAACGCTACTCTACACTGCTAAAAACTCGTGTTTGAATCGTCAGTGGCAAATTCTTTAAATATAAAAAACATACTTACAGTCTGTGAGTCAGAACAGCCGGCATTGTATTTTTTCCGGATTATAATGATGACTTAAACTGTCTTTTTAGCATTGCATTGCATCCGCGTAAACATAAAACCATGTCTGCATTTGTGATCGGAGAAATGACAAAGTACAAACGCTACTCTACACTGCTAAAAACTCGTGTTTGAATCGTCAGTGGCAAATTCTTTAAATATAAAAAACATACTTACAGTCTGTGAGTCAGAACAGCCGGCATTGTAGTTTTTTCCCCCAAGATCAGGAAACAGTCCTCCATAAAATGCCCTGCACTCATCTGAATATTTGGGTTGAAGTGTTCTGGAACAGTGTTGTAAATACAACTTAACCACTGATTTCTAGTCGTGTCCTCTTTTGGAAGATCAAACAAAGTAGTTTCGCTTTCACAACGAAACACACGGCGGGCTAGAGTGAGCGGAGGCCGGCTTGAGTGAGCGGCGGCGGACGGGCTTGAGAACGGCACGGCCGGCGGATTCAACAAAGGAGCATCCGGAGGGCTTGCGGCAACCACATGTGAAGACTGGACT